AGACGCAGTAGGGAGCTGTTGACCTTCAGAAGTCTGTGATGAACATAAAAATGTTCACTTGACACACACACACACCCACACACAGCCCAGATGTGAAGGATACAGAGTTCAGGAGAGTTTTTAAAGACGTCCTCCTCACTGGCCTCTGCTTTCTAAAACACACACATACATGTACACACCGCTAATGAGCTAGCAAGCTCAGTCACCTTCACAGTTCAATGACTGCACGTCTCTACGTCTGTTTCAGACAAATGTTGGATCGTGTCATAGAGTGTTCAGTTTGTGAGAAGTGTTCACTCAGCTGTACACTTGATTTGACTGTAAAGAGAAAAAAAAACAAGTCCAGACTTCTGAATGGAGTGAGTCCAAAAATATCAAACCACCTTGTGCAGTCTTTAGTTATTCCTCCATCCAGTTATGATCTCACAGTCATAGTGGAGCACTTTGAACCTTGTATGTGGGCTGTGAAGTGGTGTGAAGTCGGCTACGCCTGGCTTAAGAGTTACATGCCTGTGCTCTAACAGAATAGTTCCGCTTTGAATCGATGTAATGACTGACTTCAGCTTGTTTTTTTCTTTGCTCTATCTTTAAGCTGCAGGTACATTTGTAATTGGATGAATTTCCCAGCTTGTGATCAATTCTATCCATCTATCTATCCATCCATCTTTTTAGAGTTATTGTATCTTTAACATCACTTCTTTAATCAGTGGAGTACTCAAGGTACTCATCCTGTATTCATACCAGAAAACTAGATTATTTAAGTTGAGTTCTGAGCCGGAGCTTTTTAAAATTTTAAATCTGTTTCTTCACCAAACAAATTGAAAATGAATAAAACAGTTTTATAGACATCAGTTAAAAATGAATGTGACAGACTAACTCACATTTACAGAACATCAAGGATGAATCACTTTAGCTAAGGTAAAAAGATCCTCTAGTGGAACACGTTCTTTACTGCAGCAACATCAAACAGACAAATGGATGAAACAGGAAGAGAAGAAAGAGAGCATCAGACAGACAGGTCCAGACAGACAGGTACGTCTGGCTGACCTATATTACTTTTTGCCCGCCAAGGAGGAGCAGGAGAAACCGTGTCAGACAGAGACAGGTCCAGACAGACAGGTCCAGACAGACAGGTCCAGACAGACAGACACGTCTGGCTGACCTATATTACTTTTTGCCCGCCAAGGAGGAGCAGGAGAAACCGTGTAGAGGTGACAGGTGTCCGTCCTTCTCCGCTCAGTCTCCTCCATCTCTTAGGCATCTGAGGCAGTAATTGGTGCTGTCAAACACACAGAGACGGAAACACACACTTACATAGTCACACTGACGCACACACACACTCTCCTTGCCCTTCAGCGCGTGCCTCTGGGACTTAAAACAGGAGAGGTTTGAGAGAATTCATGACATCCTCTACCAGCTGTGAGACACGGAGAGGGCAAAAGAGTACGGGTCGGAAATAGAGGGGGGCAGAAAGAACAGTGGCAGACGGGAACAGAGAGGCAGTCTGCGACAGACGGAAGGAGAGTTAAGAAAAGAAAGCAAAAGAGATTAGGAGGTGGAAGGCTAAGGCTCCACAGACAGAGACTTCTACGGAGATAAAAAGATGGAGCACAGGTTAAAAAAGGGCTATTATGCAACTTCAATGATGACAAGTCTTGTGAATAAATGAATCATCGGAGCAGTAGTATTTTAAATAAATGATAAAAAATATCTCGAGGGTGAATGTAACAACAGAGACACAGATTCAGAACCACTCTGAGGTTTTCATTTGACTTCAGCGACGAGGCCGTGACCAAATGTTTTATCATTGATTTAACCATAAGTCATAAATAAGGTTATCCAATATTAACTTTTTGTTCAAGGAAAAACCAATAATGATTCTTACAGATATTACATCATTATGCTAATATATTATACGACATCCCTAGAAATGATCACTTCATGACTTCCCTGTTCAGCCGGTTCTGTCTCGGCCAAAGCATTGGATTTTGTCTCACACTTTGGAACAATTTGTGTGGAAAAGTAAAAGAGAAAGATGCAGCCGTGACGTATAAATGTTTAAAGACGGCAGACAGAGAAATAAGTGCTGTGCAGAGGAGGAGGTAAAGTAGAAAGTCAAGAGAATCAGACCACGGGTGAGGAGCAGAACGCGGGGACTGGGTGAGGGAGAGAACAGGCCCATTATAGAAGCAGACGCCTGAGTAAGGTTAGAAAATAGCAGCGAGGAGGAGAGAGAGGGAGAGAAAAGGGCTGTAATTGGAGGTGTCTGGTGCTTGTCTAACACAGAGAAGCTAGTAATGATTCCATTAGCACCTCACACCCAGAGACAGAGAGACAGGGACTCAGAAAAAGAGGGAGAGAGGGAGCCAAAGACAGAGTGTGACACCAAGACAAAAGGGGAGAATGAGGAGGCCCAACCACAGAGCAGAACAACGGACCTGGAACACAAAAACAATGAGCGGCGAAAACAGGCAAACATAAAAGGAACAAGGGGAACAGAATGTGAAAGGCACTCACCGAAAGCCTTGTTCACCTGTGAGATGGTAATAATTACCAATCCACCCCCCCTCGTGCCCCCCCCGCCTCTCTCCATAACCTCACCCCTTCGTCTCTTTGTGCGATGGCAAGCGAGAGTAGGTGATTTAAATGCATTAGTGCGGCGTGTTTTTCCCTGTGGAAGTCCCTTACACTGTGTCAGGACGGGAACCTTTTGTTTGGGGCTGACGCTGAGCTGTGAGAAGACTCTTTAAAAGCCTCGCTCTTGTTCTCTTTGGGACACATTAAAGAGCTTTACGCCAGGTTATTGCCCTTCTCTGTGTCCTCTCATGTCTTTGTTAGAAGCAGACTGATTACTGATGCTGCTACATTAGTGGCTATGGAAAATTTGGACCACGGGCTAGGTGGCAGCGTTGAGGCCGGGGGGGCACGGGCAGGAAAAATAGCTCACACACCGAAAATAATTTCAATAAAAGGACGATGGCGTTCCACAGTGATTCAGGCATAGATTCACAGAGAATGAAAAATATGTGATATGATTTTATGTGAGGTACAGGCGATGGCTCCTCCGGCTCATTGTAATGCAAATTATTCCCACGATTTCACACAAAAAAAGTTCCCTGCTATTGAATAGTTGGAACAACAGCCCTGAAGTGGAGAAGCCTTGGTAAAACCGCGAAGGAATTGAAAAACTTTTTAATTGATTCCAGAGTAAACGCCACACCAAAAAAAAAAAATCCCATGAATAGAAATCGAAGCCTTTCTTCCTCCATCATGGAGACACCGGTCCTCTGTTTTTGATGTACAGCCACCGCTGCTACAGAGACTGTGGTTATTAGACAAGTGTCAAATATATGTCCTGACCTTTGACCACTGACTGCCAATAAGACTTTATAGTTCCTTCTGGATGCAACTACAGCAAATACACACACACATGGTCAAGCAGAGTGTAATGGAGTTGGCCTGCATGTAAAACATGCTTTTATTACTATATTTATCCCCAGCCCAGTGATAAGACTTAGGGAGCAGGTTTGATGAGGTCATAGAGGTTAATAGGGTTAGCCACGTTGCTACGTCAGATTGACTTCAGAACTTTAGAACGAAAGGAATAATTCCAGGAGTTGGACTTCTCTGTACATTTTGTTATGTTCATGAGCAGTACGTCTCCCCCCGTTCATGTTTCCAGTTTACTGGCAGTGATGTTTCTGTGAAGAAGATAGACTTTGAGAATATTGACTCAAAACATTGAACAAAATATTTAAGGCTTTTTGGTGTCGTTTGTAGTAAGCAGTATTCACTATCATCCCCTGCAAGTAGAACGGTACCTCAACCTGGGAGGAACAGGTCATTTATCTGCAGGTGTAACAAGGTCATCACTAAAATGTCTGACGAAGAGTCAAAACCAATGTTATCAGTTAGTCTTTGTATCAGTCTAAATCCTCCCAGCTCTCACTGCTCCATCCTGTCTGCATTCATAGCACAAACTCTGATACGAGGCGTAGAACACTGACCCGCAAACCGACAGGAGCAAAGCAGTTAAAAATAAAGAGCAGAGTGACATTTAACTAGACAGACGCGGCTCAGCTCAACAGTCAGCGTCTCATGATTGAGATGCAGCCAGAGTTCTGCCACAATCTGTGCACAGAACCAGTCAGCAAACTGCAGAGTACAGCTTGTTCCTATTCACTTGTCTCCGAGGTCCAACTGCCAAGTTTTCTGGGTATCTTGGCTACAGCTTCTCCCAAACAAGTGAAATTGCATTATGTGCACCGAAGTTTGCTGTGATGAATATCTATGATTCCATTTTCTTTTAGGGGAGGAAGTGAGCCCGTAGGGGCAGGTGATGCTGTGAGTCGAATACACCTCGCTCACTCAGAAAGCATATGCACATGGTATACACAGCGATGCTGAGCGCACATACACACACACACACACACACCATCTGTGGAGTTTTATGACTCAATAATCTGCTTCCTAAGGCATACCTTTTTTTTCCTCTCCTGCTTCAACACAAACTCACATCAATAAGCGCTTTTTTTTTACACACACACACACCCTCTCGCCTCTTTCCTCTACTCAGCAGGGAAAATGAAATATTCAGGTCTGACGTACTGTATGTACACACATACACAAACACACACGCACACACTCGCCGAAAATGAGGAGAGGTGCGTCAAAGCAGCGCCTACACTTTGGCTGTGAGAACTGTCCCCAAAGTGTTGGGAGCTGCATATAAGTCTGAATAAAACTCTGAGTTATGACACGCTGGGTGACACACACACACACACACGCAGCGTCACCGAGACAGTGCATCTGTAACCTAAATAAACACAGGGTGGATGTCACGTGTTAAATACTGCACTTTGTTAAACCTTTTCGAATGTTAGTAATCAGTACCAAGTGTTTGACACTGAACGTAGCCTCTGTCCGTCTCGCATAAATGTATACGAAGTATTCCCACACACTTGCAACACATCCCACCCAGGACCCCCGCCCCCACTCACGCTGGCAGATGTCTTTGTTCTCCTCGAAGCCTGGTTTGCAAACACATCTCCCGATGGGAACGAGCCAGCCTCCGTCGGCGCTACAGTACATCTTTGGAGCCTCAAACTCCTCGGAGGCGTTCACACACACACCGTGGACCTCCACCAGCGCCGTGTCGCCACCCGTTATTGTGTCAGGAAACTGGGCCAAGTTGAGCACAGTGAGGGGGCACTTCTTGTAAAAAACCCTCACGGAGACCAGAGCGATGCAGGCACCCAAGTCCTGGAAGGCCAAGTAGAAGCCCCTTCTACTCAGGTTGCTGATGTCCCGCACCTCGGTGTTTAGCTTCATGACACGGTCTCCGACGTCCACCTGCGGTAACACATACAAAAAAACGTATGTTGATATGTTTTAGCCGGGTGCAGTAATAATTCCGACATGAGTGTGAGAGCGTCCATACCTGAGTGAAGCTCTCATCAGCAGCAATGGTGTCAATCTTGACGTACTGGCTCTCCTTGATGAACCACAGGTTTGCATTGTTGGACTCGTAGTAGTACATGTTGAAGGTCTGAAAAATAACCACAGCCTCTGTCACCTTCCAGACTCAGCCCTTATATTAACAATGGAACACAGTGGCACAGATAAAGGTGAGAACATTTCACCGACACTCCTATAGAATTCATGCTGTCCTGCTGCTTCCCAAATCTCAGTTTCTCCGTGGCTGCTTTGTAGCACTGGTGAATTCACAGCTATATATTGTATCACAATGTCAGTGTGGAGAAGTAATAAGAATGAAGAGGGTGCAAGGAGCAGAACGAGATGATATGACACAGTGAGGGAACAGTAACAAAATAACAATGTACAGTATTAGTAGACAGAAGCCCCAGGAGCACCGTGTGGTTCTTTGCAGTAATTTTGTGTTTAGCAATAAATGTATAAATATATGTAAAAACTGAAAATGAAAAATTGAATCACTGAAAAATCAATGATTCAATTTGATCTAAATTTGTAGTTCTTATTATAATAAATTATACTCTTGAATGTGAAGGAAACACAGATTATATTTCGTGGCCATGTGTGAGCTCAACAATACGGACCTCCTTACAAGTACCAGGGACCCCCGGCAGGCTGTTACAGTCCCTCAGGGTGAACTTGATCTCGATGTAGACGCGTTGAGCCCCCTCCCGGCTGATGTGGCGTGTCCTGAGCCAGTTGTTTTGATTGGCCTCCATGACGTTACACACCTGGTAGGTTCTCATCGGAGTGTTCCTCTCGTCCATCACGCTGATCTCCTCCCACTGTGGATGTGAGGTAGAGTAAGGAAAGACAACGGATGTTACACGGCCGTATTAGGTTTGGTATTTGATATAAGTAAAGGTCTTAGATCATCGGTCTGTTTTAACTGAAATAAAAACAGCAATAAAAAGACACACAGCACCCCATAAAGCTAATAGACTAGACGAGTGGTTCCCAAAGTGGGCGCCTGGTGCAGGGGCAAAGGAAAGGAAAGAAATTCAATATTTTCTTTATTTGTCCCACAGTGAAGAAAATGCACTCTATTTTCTTAAACGAGTATAACAGCTTTTAATGGTAATATTCCATTTCCTGGTGGCTGTCCACATTTTATCTATTTATATTTAGAAAGTAAACAGTTAGTCCACCAAGAATCAGATGTGGACACTGTGGGGAAAGACATTTGTTTTGTCTTTACAGCAGTCAAAGTGGTGGTAGTCAAAGGACAAAGGACAAAGTCCACGGACTCCAGTTTTGCTTCTGGGAAACTGGGCCTCAGTTCAACTGTGGTTTAGTGCAAACCATCACTAAGCCTGAGAGTTCTCTTTTTAAAATATGAACGATGATCTGTGTCCCCGTGACTGAAGGACTGTCTTTGTTCATGATGCACGCGTAAAAAACAGTGAATGTTTTCCTTGAGTGAATAGGTGATTTGTTTGTGCGTGTATTTGTATGTCAGTATGCATGTGTGATGGAAAGAGGGAAAACATGGAGAGAGAGAGAGAGAGAGCGGGAGAGAGGGAGTCGCTAGGACAGAGCTACTTTGTCTCCCATCATCTGCTACCATCTGTTTCCACTTCTGACTCCGGCAGTAATTGAGAACACTTCTTGCAGGGAAACCTTTCTATCTGCATACACACACACACACACACACACATATATATGGGAAGCACACAGGCATGATGTGACATACACAAACAGAAAGGATTTTTCTACGAAGAACCTGAAAACAAACCAGTGTGGTTTCAAATATCTGGTCTGAGTCAACACCAGAGCAGCGTCTTCTCACTGAGCTCCTGTCATCACCGTTACGCTGACTTTGAGCTCCTGATTGATGAGCTGCTGTTACCTCTGCACCAGTCCAACCATGTGAACGCGTTTTGAACAGCATGAAAACAGACTGTAGACTAACACGCTCATGAACTCCATACTGGAAAGTATTCACTAATTCAAACCTAAACCCACAGAGGTGTCACGTCTACTGCGTCCTGAAATTCAAAGAAAAGCTGAATTGTAGGTGAAACCAGAGGCAGAGAAAAGACAAAAGGAGGAATCGGGCTAATAAAATGCATAGGAGAGCAGAGACGGTCCACGGAAAAACTTTTCAGCCAAGTCCAAGCTCCATTTGGTTTCTTGACATGAATCTAACGTGACGGCCAAACAACCCGGCAAAACCTTGTCGCGTTTCACTGACAGGTCCTGAGCTCAAAAACAGATCATGTTGAAAGAAAAGCTTACAGTCACATGTGCACTTTTTATAGATCTCCAAACACTGGTGTTGACCCACCGTCCTTTTTCCTTTTTTACAGCCAGTGCAGTGTCCCCAGGGGGCTGGGGGGTTATTTTTTTTTTACCAGTTCTTTATTGATTAGGCTGAGAGTTAGCATCTAGTTTACATCGAATACGTGTGTGAATGAATGAGTGAGTGTCAGTGAGCCAATCACATGAGGTTAAAGGCCCTGATCAACGACAATGGAAAAGCCCAAGACAAGATTGTCAAAGATACGGCCTGCAAGCCAAAACTAGCCCGCTCGGGAGTTCGATATGGCCCGCTTGATTTTTTAATAAATCAATCAATACATTTTTTATATATTTGTACTTGTTTGCATCAAAACAAAGGGGAGAAACATGGACTTATTGTTATTTATAGGTAATTATTTTATGATTGTACTGGTCCGACCCACTTCTACTCAGGCCCAGATTCCATCGATGATAGAAACACACAAACGAAATGACAAAACTGTCTGGAATATAGAAGAATAAATAGAGCTGCAAAAACAACAAAAAGGCAGCTGGCAGAGACATCCCTAAAAGGTTTTTCTCTGGTGTTGTTGTTTGACGTGTATATGGTGCACATATAAATGGCATATCACTGGACCGTTAGTGAGAGTTGAACAAAAACACACAGAAAATGACTGTAAACCACCTCCATCGGCCACACTGGCTTCAATTAAAGGAACAAAACACCAGACGGGGAGAAAGAGGGAGAGGAGAGGAGAAAGATGAATGAATGTTGGTAAATTACAGGCGCGCCTGGCAGCTAAATAGACCCATCTGTGCAGCGCTTGGACCAGTCGGACATCACACAGGACGGCACACACACACACACATCCGTACAGACAGGCTGAATCCCCTGAGAGTTGTGATTAAAGCATTTATGGGAATAGTCATGAAGGGATGAAGTCGGCTTTATGATGTCTTGTTTATTTCTTCGTGGGCAGAGTTTGGAGTGGCTGGATTACTGCCACTTCCCTCTAAGTGACTTATTTCCCTGGTTGAAGAGTCTGTTCACTGTCACTTTTGGCTGCTGTGAAGCACAGGTGTGTTTGTAGACGACGGTGACTCAACCTGCTTGCCCTCACTTCTAAAATAAATGATACGGCAGCCTCTCGAGATCAAATCCGCCAGCAACAACTAGGGGTTGAAAAGCATGGAGAGACTGACGACAACAAGCTCATTTACACTGAGAACTAACACTGTTGCTTTAACTGCTTTCACACTGATTACAATTCAGGAGCAAACCCTTCGTCCCGGACCCTCAATCACCGCCACCAATCAGCGCAGAGCCTTCCTGATTGCTTTGAAGTGCAGCAGAGACATCAGAACAGGGTTTAAGTTCAGCCATTCACCGGCTTAACATAATATCCCTGCGCCTGCAATCATCTGATGGCTACACCTCCGAGGACATAATTGGCCTCCGAACCCGGGAACAAACTCTGGCTCGATGAGCGTGGTGAAGAGGGCGAGGGGGGGAGGGGGGAGAACAGAGTTGACAGATGAAGGGAAAATAAGTTGGGGGGGGGGGGGTTATGGCCAGTGGGGGGGCCTCCTGTTTTAAAAAACAATTGGGACATCAGTTCCAAAAATACGCATGACAATGACTCTCTGATTCGCACTTCATTTATTTGCATTGCATTTTTTTCTGATATGTAAAAAAGACACAAGTCAGAGAAAGGGAAATGAAAACAAAACAGGCTTGATGTTGTAAACAGATGCATTTAAAAAAAATCCACCTTGTGTCCTTATATATTTGTATAACCATATAAACTGTTTTAACAAACAGAATAACATATACATCAAATTAACTTCCATAGGAAGCATATTTGAGCCTCGTGACACAGTGAACTTTGACATACACCTGGTATCATTTCATAAAATATAATAGTGTTCTGCACATTTTTTGACGGCCCAATGCTTTTCTTTTTCTTTAAAAAAGTGCACTTACAATGGCACTCACCCAGAGGCTGTTTAGCATCATTTACCTCTGTACACACTGGGCTATTCAGGAGATAAGGAGTGTATTGAAAATATAAACAAAGGAGGGGGGTGTAAGCCGATGGAGGTGGTGGGAGGATCTGCAGGGTGGATGTCAAGACTCCTGCCGTGCTCACTCTTACAGATGCAGATTGATGGGAGTCAGGAACAAAAGCCATAGGTTACTGCTGCCATGCAACCCTGCATATCAGACATGGTGACTTTCAAATGAATTCCTGTGCCGTCAGGACAATCACACAAAGGAAATACAGTATTTATTTTTTTAAATCAAAAACATCCTCCTGTGATGCTGGTGGGGGGGGGGGGGGGGGGGTTACTGCCACTGTGGGGACCTCCTGTTTTCAAACACCATTAGGACATTCTGTTTAATGTCCTTCACGAGGAACACCCCTGCTCAGTGACAGTGAAATCGGTCCCTCCGTTCAGCCTCAGCCCCCGGTATGTCGACCATCTGACCCCGCGCTGCTGGGATTAAGCCTGACCTTCGAGGGTCAAGTGTGGTTTTGGACTAATTCACACAGACAGTGGTCTCAAATTGGTGGGAATTGCTTTTTGCTGAGTCCAATCAGCAGGTTTGAGGTTCAAAGGTCAACGAGATAATCCCCTTGATATGAAACATCAGACCTTCTTACAGCCTCCGAACTCGTGTAATCCATGGCTCACTTTGTTTCTTCTTGTGTAGGAGCTCTTTATTCTGTCCATTCCCCATTATCAGACTTATTTGAAATGTTTGATAATAATTAGCGCTCAACAAAATGCCTGCCAGCAGGATCTGGCAACCTTCTACTCTTGATGATTTGTGCTTTTTAGATAACAAAAAGAGATTTATAGAGTTGCAAAGACAATTAGCCATGTGATTTCACAAACCCCTAATTACATCTTATTATAGCACTTCCCTAGTAAATATTTGAAAAAAGGCTACAGGTATTAAAGGCTTACTGTCCTCAGCTCACCTGATGTTACACTTGCAGTTGTTTTTCACTGCAATCATTTTAAAAGTGAACCGCTTTACAAATAGTCTATTTGTTGTTGCATGGCGCCGTTGTAATAAAATAAAGCAACAGAAGATAAATCACCTTAATGACAAATGGGCCGCGTTTGAATCCCTGCAGGTTTACCTCCTAACAAAAGTGCAGCTACAGGAGATGTTTGGGTCTCACTCTGTATTCTAATGCCTGTGTGATTACGGAATATAAGGCTAGCAGGTGCATCACACCAATCAGCATATATTTATATATATATATACACTTCAGCCAACATATATCTGGAGGCTGAGCACATGTGCTCCTCCTGTACCAGGGTAAATCCGCTGCAAACCAAGACGTATTTTCAATCAAACAAACCAGCGTGCCCTGCTTTTTAGGATTCGACTAAACCTTTTGGCTTAGCCGCAGATGGAACGCATTCAGCTCGTCTCTAAGGACCTCAGAGAGCAGGGAAAAAAACATCTATAATATAGCTACACAATCATTGCATTTCAATTAAGTGAACTTGATACCCTTGATTGCTTGAGAAAACAACCTTGCTTCAGCTGCCTCTTCTCTACAGTGCACAACCATGAAACCGCGTGTGGCATCCTGCAATTTAACACACTGACGCTGAATGGCGCAGAGGAAGTGCAACTCAAGGGGAAATAGAATTAATTCAGTGCCATTCAACAGCTCTGGTGCTCGAGTGACATACAGAACCCACTCTTATTTCTTCATTGAATAAACTTTGTTGCCCTTCTTCTTCTTCTTCCTCGTCTTCCTCCTCGTCTTCTCGTAGCTCTCCCAATCCTCTCACTTGTCTGTCACTTCCTGATCATGCTGACTGCACTTCCTTGAACCCTGTACCTGCAGAAGTCCAGCCCACTCCCATATGCAAAAAATAAAAAATACAAACACATATACAAACACCAACATGCACACATCACGTCTGTTTGTGTGAAAATGCGCAGCCTTTCACGCTGTCACTTCACTCCATCCCTAAAATCACAACCCATAATAAATGGAGCCTCCAGTGCCGGAGTGTTTTCAGTGCAGCAGAAATAATTTGTAAATTCCCCCTGCAGACTCCCGATTTAGCAGCCAGTGCTCGAGAAGCCGCTGCTGTCTAAAACACACACTCCAGTGCTGCTGTGAGCTCTGAGTCCCCGCGTTTACCCTGAAAATATAACAAGTCAACACAGCCTGCTGCGGATCACAGTTATGCATATGGAGCTGCAGCTCATCCTGGGAAAAGAACTGGGTTGGATGGTGTTGGGCTGCACTGTGTGACTCGTACTCACCCCCTCGTTGGGATAGGCCTCCCAGCCCAGGTCGGCCAGAGCTGACATGGAGTCCAGCAATGTAACTGCAACGACAGAGAGAAAAACAGGATTTGTCACCACACTGTAACAATGTCAGCGCTGGTACTGTGTTAAAATGTATGTTAGAGGATTACAAACAAAAATGCTGTATGGCAGTGATCATCAAATGGCGGCCCGCGGGCCCAGTGCAGCTCACTGAACAGTTCAATCCATCCCACGACTGGATTTCAAAAATTGTCAGATTGAAGATAAAACATTGTCTGGTCCACACTATTAAATGCACCGACTAGGATTATGACATAAATCTCTGACATAAAACTTGACGACCTTTTCGTGATTTACACAAGGGCGTGTTTTGTTGTGTCGGACTACGGGGAATCACAAACAGGAGTAAAACCTGGGGGCGTGTTTTGTTGTGTCGGACTACGACGGCGGGGGAATCACAAACAGGAGTAAAACCTGTTATTCCATCTTTAAGAGCACTCCAGGGAGCGTGGAGATAAGGCATCAAGAAAAAAAGTGAGAGTGCGTGTTACAGATTTATTTGGTGAAATCCTTGACATTAATATGACGCCACCCAAAGGTTTGGACTATCAACTTCACCATCTGTATCCCTGGAAATCGTTTTTAAGATGTTCTCGTCTTAGGGGAGAGAATTCAGGGTGGTCAAGTCATGTTCTGTGTGGAAAACAGAACTGAAACCACCACCGCAGTATTACTGTATACTTTTTATAAGTATACACACAGCTGCTTCAGTATATTTCCTTGCACACTTTCCTGTTCTCCCCCACCGAATAACATGATTACACCGGCCTCATCTCATTCTTTTCACTTTGTTAAACCCACAAATGAACAATAGCAACAATGGACTGTGGGGATATAGCTGTCAGTCCATACAAAACACAGTAACATAACATATTATGTCTGCATCCTGTAAAATGAACAGGGAATTAAACAGTAGTGACCTAACTTGTCACAGTTCTTTCTCTTCTGTACGGTGTATTTTCTCTCAGCTCCAGTGCTGTACAAAGTCCAAGGCAAGTTTATATATTTAGATTCTGCAATTCAAGTATTTAAAGCAAAAGCAGAGAAGCAGAAGCTCGATGTGAACATCATTAAAAGGAAAGGGCTGTGCAGCAGTGGATCGACCAGGCTGCTGAATCTGAGGACAAAGGAAAGAGCCAAGAAGTATATTTGAATTTAATTCAATCAGACCCAACCAGGATGGCTGCAAATCTTTGACTGTTCTCAGGAATGAGCTGCCCACCTGGCCCTGCCACACTGAAAAGGAATACGTGGAGCTAACAGAGCTAACAGAGCTAGCAGAAGAGCTAACAATTACACAAAAAATATCAGTCGCAACTGAACACAAGTCGTTGTGTTTGGGGCTTGATATTATTGTTGTGATTTTCTTTTATGGGATCTCTACGATTGTTATCATTTACAACTTGTGAATTTTGATTCTCTCTCAGGGACATTTTTACTCGTGCATTGTGGGAAACCTAGAGTAATTTGCCTTTGATGGACGTTTTTTTGTTTGAGTACATGAAATACGCCATCTGGCTCAGATTGTCAGGATTACTGTGTGTGGATATTTAAATGAAAGGAGGAAGTGGAGAAGGAAGCAGGGAGCTGATGGAGAAACTTGAGAAGAGTGTGGCAGCTGCTCAGGTTCTCCACATGTGGCTGTCACATGTGTTATTTCCTAAATTAGTTTGCAACACTTCATTAAAGGGACTAAATGAAAAGTGAAGAAAAGCCAGGTTCTGGATGTTTGGTCATACAAAAACGTCTGCTTTGGAGCAGTGGTTGAGGGGAGTCCTATAATCAAGACTTCAACGCCGCTGGTCATCAATGTTTAATCAGTATTAAGTTGGCGTTGGTGCTTATCTCTGGATCCTGACACACATTGTGGTTCTCATATATAATTACACCAGCACTCCTTCAAACTGTGAGACAACTCTTTCCTTTCCACAGAACAGACATGAGAGTTTCTGCACTGACACAATTTAAACGGTGCATCGCTATAAAGTCAGGCGCTTGCATAATATCTCCAATTTAATAAGGCAGCGACGGTGACCTGGAAAAACCTTTTCCAAGCAAGTAAATACAGTTTGCTCTTCTGAAACCAAATGAGGCTAATCACTCAATTCACAGACGTGGAAAGTGCCTGTTTACTAGTCCTCCTCCTCCTCCTCCTGTGTGTCTGTGCTACATACAGGTACAGTAGAACGAGTCCTTCCACATCTCTGCCCATCTCCGACTCTTCTTCCCTCATTTTCACGCTAAAGCTCTTCATCAGCCCCGACTAAATCCCGGTTTTCCTTCCTCGGCTCGGCACGCCGTGACAGCAGGGAGGCGTGTCACGCTGCATTAGTGTATGTACAGTAGGTGTGTGAAGAGTATGCGTGTGAACCGACACACATATCTGTGCGTTTCCAGGCAGCGCGCGCTCTCACACGCGACGGTGTTAGTGTGAGAAAACAGCCAGAAAATAGATGATAAAACGAGGCAGAGTGAAGTGAGAGTGTGATAGATTAAATGAGAGAGAGAGAGAGAGAGAGAGAGAGACTAAGCAGCTAAAGGTCAGAGGCAGCCTGCAGTGTGTGTGTGTGTGTGTGTGTGTGTGTGCGTAAGCAGCTAAAGATCATTAAGACCACTTTCTTCTGTGTGTGCATTTGAATGGTGGATGGAAATAGCATAAAATTGTTTGATGATATGTCATTTAAGCCTGAAGGGCGTGCACACACACACACACACACACACACACACGAACACGATCACAGTGTTTCTCACTTAGTCACACAAACACAGAAGAATAAACTCAGAAGTGACAACCAGAGGTAAAAGGTTGTATTTTTTTTTTTAATTTCCATAGTAACGCCCACACATTGTTTCACTACGACCCACCTGACCTTTCCTCCACAGTTTCAGTTTGGTTTAGCAACTCAACTCCAAGTTAAGAGCTCTTCTCATTTTAACCATAGCCATATACTGCTGTATATTGCACCTTTGTGATGTAATTTTGGAGAAACATTGTGAAATTAAATATGAACCACATGGCTACGAATGCTGCTAGCAATATTAGCGTTCCAGCTGCTCACAAATGTCTTCATGATTCTGTTCTCGTTCTCTGTGTTTTAGGTTGTCACGCCTCGTCTGTTGGGGGTCAGAGATGAAACACAGGAATTATGGGTAAGTTGGTGACCTGAACACCACATGGTAACAGAAGCCACTGTTTTTAAAAACCATTTTCTGGCCCCTGGGAAAATGTGCACAGACATGAACCGACACATTGACACTTTTTCCCCTGTCCTCACACCTCTTGTCAATACCACTTATCACTTATAAGTAATCAATAACTGGACTCATCAATTATGTATTACCTATAGCTTCCTGTCTGCTGACACTGCAAAAACCCAAAACGTACGTGTGTGTGTGTGTGTGTTTGTGTAATAGAGGACAAAAGAATATTACATACAAAGCATTCTTAGTGGAGCAGAGATGAATCTCTTGTATCTTTGCCAGTGCATTTCTAAACGCATTCACCTTCACTGTTTTTATGTTCCTCCAGGGACCTGGCTTAATTGAAGAATATGAGCTTGTGTATATGAGTGTCCACTGTGTGTGTGTGTGTGTGTGTGTAATCTAAGCCTAGTCCTGACCTGCCATGGTTCTGAATCACTCAGGCTAGTCGCCCAGGCCAGTCTCATGTTTGAATGACATCTCTCCCCATTGTTCTTCATCTATCTCTCTCTCTCTCTCTCTCCCCCCCCCTCCATCGATCGATCTATCTATTTCTGTCTGTCGATAACTGTCTGTCTTTCCACTGCAAGTACCGAGGCCTTTTAGTAACATAAACCTTTTCTATGAACTGTACTTCTTTATAATGGTGATTTGTGTTCCCACCGTAGTAAAAGTACCAGCAACATTTTGCAAATTAGCCCTTTAGCAGGGAGGGGCTTACAGGAAGGACTCCAATGATTAGCTGTAAAACAACACTGGCACCAGCAGACTACAGGCCTTTTTAACATTAGACCGGTCTGGATGACAGTCTAGGCTGTGGGCTGCAGACCAATACTGGTTCATGTACTTGGTCATGAAGCCAGGATTATGATTGTACTATCATGATATGTTATTGTTATACTATTTAATGAGCCCAGTCCATACCACGTTGATTGACCATCACTGGTCTGTAGACCTCGTGTTGAACCCACCCAACCCTCCGTCCATCCACCAACGGCCATGATCTGTCCAGGTCGCTGAGGCGATGAACACAATATCTAATAAACTGCACAGAGCGCGATAAAATATTGAAACCCTAAGTGACAACAGTAGAAAAGCGCTCCACAAACACACAACTCTCCTCGGCTCCTCTGTCTAAAAATATCGTTCTCACACAAACGGATTCACGTGTGAACACCCACACCTCAACAATCCCCCCCGTGCTTTTATTACAGGCCAGGAATGCACATGTGTCCCGATTACTGCAGGAGTTGTCTGGTTACACAGACATGCTGTCTTATTGATTTTCAGCACCAAACTGTGGGCTTTACATTATGAGAGGAGAAAGACGAGGAGGAGGGCGAGGAGCAGCTGAGCGGGAGCCGTGGATCTGTAGACGTCTCCGTGTGAATGCATGCTAAGACAAAACCAAGAAGAACATGTAGAAGAAAAAAAATTCAATATCTTTGTCTCTACATGCCCTTCTGTGCCAGGCTGTTTTTCTTTTCCTCACTCCAGTTTCCTCCCTCTGGGGTGTCTGTCTCTGACCGTCTTCCCCTCTTTTTCCATCTCCTTCTCAGTTTGTTTATGTCTCTCTTTCTCTCTGAGCTTCAGCTGGGCTGCAAAGAAACTGTGATCCACCTGCCAAGAATAAAACAAGGCTGCCAACAACCAGACCGGCACACAAAAGTACTTAAACTCTCGCCACCCTCCCCCACGCCTTCCCTCCCTCTCACACACACACAGAGAGAGAAATGGACAAACACAGACACAGCACGAGGACGACTAACACAAGGACACACCTGATGAGTTAATTTGATCTTTTTAAACTCATCCTACACTGTTTATTATTCATTTTCTTTTTTTTTAATTAATTTCGAACACATGCTTCAGACTTTGTTCAAAAGTCCTGACATCGCTTATGTTTATGTAACATTCAAAGAGGACTCATCAACAAATACTTGAAAAATAAAAGCGGGGACATTCGATGCTGGAAATTGTTCTGCCGCCATAATGTCTGATCTATGAAAGTTCTAAATGAACATAAATCAGCTTTTACACAGTTAGAGATAAGGGAAATTAGGGCATTAGAATAATACCACATTGTTTTAAGATTTCTTTATGGTTTCAAATGTTAGGCTTTTATTTTTTGAAACCATGGACTGTCACAAACTTGATCAACAATTGATCTGAAGTTTTTCTTTTTTTTGTCGGCTTCCAATTATTATTATTATTATTATTATTATTATTATTATTATTATTATTATTATTATTATTATTATTATTATTATTATTATTATTATTATTATTATTATTATTATTATTATAAAGTTAATGTCTGATTTTATACCAAAATAGAGCAGAGACTGAGGCCTCTCCCTCTGAAGGAAGTCAGATTGGCTATTTCCTCTCTCATCTAGGGTGAACTAAGTTAACTATATCCTGGTAAAAGCTTCATATCGGATGCTCAGACACTGGAGTGATATTGATCTTCACACCTAATGTGCTAAAAGAAAGATAAGCTAATTCATTTTACTTGGATCAGACAATACAGAGACCCAAAATTCTTCTTTGAGACATTAGGAAACGGCCAAGAGACAGATTCAGCCGGAGCTCTAGATTACTCACTCGTCTACACACACACGCACACACACACACTCACACTCACACACGCACGCATGTCCACTGAGAGTGTGGTTTGATGAGTGAAAGTGTTGTCAGGGCAACAAACAGGCCGGGGAGCAGGAGGAAGGAGTGGGAGAGTTGAACACTGGACTTCACCGACAAACTGGTGTCTTACGCAAACTTCCAGACTTTCTCTGGTGCTGTCTCTCTCTCTCTCTCTCTCCACTCCTCCATCCAAAACACCAGAGGCCTCCATACTGGGTATAATAGCCTGATCTCTGTGCTCCATTGTTAGGTCGGTGTTGCTGTGTATTCTTGCAGCTGTAGGGAGTAGATAGTAAACTAGTTTTTTTAAGGTCTTTGTTTTGTTTTTTTTCTTTGTTAACAGCCTGGTTTTTAGACAAACAGCGTTTTGTTAATTCACGAGGACGCCCTGTTTCCTCAGCATCTTAAAACAATAGCGCAGGTCAACCCATTGGAGTGGGTGATTTTATCAGCCAGTATTTTTTCTGTGTGACAGTAAATAGATGTACAGGTAAATCAGCAGCAGACAGACAGATATTGGACCAAATGACAGGGCGTGACACCAGGAGTGCATGCACGCCCCCATGTGTCTATAGGTACAGTATGGATTTGTCCCTGTATGGTGTTTGAGCACCGCACACACACATGCACACACACGTGCACACACATGGTTGTCACAGTGGCTGATCACAGGAGGGCAAATTGGCCTGGAATCACTGGAGTGTGATCCATGGTAGAAATGAAGAGCAAGTCACATGTTTGATTAATGTTGACAGGTTTTTGCTACACACACACACACACACACACATGTTCCATACTACAACAAGGCGCCAACGAATAATTAATATATTGGTTTATCTGTCCTACATGATTATAATGTTTTGAAAATATCACATTCAACACAATATGTTTGGATCACAGATCACATCCCAATTTTCATGTCTCAACCAATCACTAAGTCCAACATCAGAACAGTCCTGAATGGCTTTGGTCAGCCGCTCATCAGTGTCTGACCAGCTGGTTGTCCAGGAACTCGTCCGTCTCATCAAGCCTAAACCAATTTGCACTAATCTGGACACCAGCGTGTATCCAACACACAGATCAATTTAACAACTCAGGAAAAACACTGAACACAAGTGGATAATAAGGCAGCGTGTTCTGATGGAAAACAACAGGCTGGGTTTTCATCGTAGCCACGTTTGCCGTGGGGGTCGGTTTAGCCTGAAAGGAAAAATAATTATTTTTTCCAAGCCGGCAGTTGATACAAATCAGCGATGCACCAGTTGCAGGTGGGTTTTTATCTGTGTTTGATGAAGGTTAGAGTCAATTTCAGAGGGCGTTTCTGAGCATTTCTCTGTTCTTTGGCGGAAACAGTAAACTCATTCATCAGAGAGGGAGAAGTATGACCACAGGTCGGCAAACAAATCTGCAGCTGACCCAAATCCTTGGCTGGTTGTTAGGGAAGGTGCCAGAGTCTGTGCAGCACACCGCAGTTTTTGGACAAACCAAAACTGCACAGCAAATAATGAGTGTGTGTGTGCATTAGAGAGAGAGGGGGGAGAGAGAGGGAGAGAGAGAGATAGAGAGAGGGAGAGAGAGGTGTGTGTTCAACAAATTCAATTTGACCAAATTAAAGGTCAGGGCAGCTGTGGGTGGTAAATGTGGGTGAGAGGGAGCACAGAGAGGAAACAAGTACATGTGTGTCATTTCTGCACGTGAACACACGTGTGTGTGTGTGTGTGTGTTCAATGGTTAAAGGGCCAGTTAAGGGCCTGTTTAAACTGGGGGAGGGTCATCACACATGGTGGTATGAAGTTGAGGTTCCACTTCAGGCATCATCGACTGAGGTAGAACTTTCCTTCTTGTCATTAAGGAATGAAGTCTAAGAAATCTGACAAAGATTTATTCCCAGAAAACACAAGGTTTAAAGTTGAACCTGTGGTTAATTTTTAAAGGGTAGTTCATCTTTTGATTCGTCGTGATCATAGGCTGCAGAATGCATGAATATATTCTAAATGCATCAAACGTTTGTTCTTTATTGTCATCACAGACTTACAAGAAATATTTGAAGATCTGAACGTTCTTGTTCTGTGAATTCTTTGTATTCCTGTGAATCATCTACAGGAGGTCAGTTTGGACTGATGAATACATTATTTTGCACCAGATTATCCTCCTCCTGGAGATTTGGGTCTGACTTTTTCCTGGTACATTAGAACGTGACAATTTTGAAAACAAAAGTTTAACCAGGTGTATGAAGAATATGTCCACTTTCTAACCAGTCAGTCTGACTAGTACTGCGGGAGGTCAGAACTAGCTGTGTTAAATGACATACAAATGACAGTTTGGACATAAATGAAAGAACCAAACGTAATCACTCATCCCATGATGAGCTGAGCTGGGTCCTATTTGGAATTGTATCATGGTTTATTTGAAGGCTGTTTCTTCTCCATGTGATTTTTAATCTGGATTTTCTGTAAACAATAGAACGGACTGTTCTTGCTGTTGTTTCTGCTGTTGTTCCTGCTGTTGTTTCTGCTGTTGTTTCTGCTGTTGTTCCCACTGTTGTTCTTGTTGTTGTTCTTGCTGTTGTTGTTGTTGTTCTTGCTGTTTTTCTTGCTGTTGTTCCTGCTGTAAGAAATATCTGGGTGTTTTTCTTTTTCTAATTTTTCTTTTCTTACTTTGTAGTAATTCATGAAATTGCTCTCCTGTGTATCTACATCGGAGTCCAGTTTTTACACACACACACAGACACACACTGGTGAAGCCTTCACAGCAGAATCAGTCTCTGTCACTGCGCTGTATTTATATCCCCATCTATCAGCCAGAACCTGGAAAATGTGACACTGTTCTCCAGACCATGACCACTAAACTGCCCCCAGCTATGCATTAGGGTCAGATGAGAGTGTGTGTGTGTGTGTGTACGTGCGTGTGTGTGTAATAAACAAGAGTGTGTAGTGTATATAGGACTTCTCTGTTCAGCAGATATACAGAAGGCCAACCTCATTACAGAAAATATAGAGTGGCTCCAAGCTCCTGTCCAACTGTTGACAATCATTGGACGAGTCAGAGATAGACGGGGAATAAAGAGGAGGGCAGGAGTGAAAACAAGCCTGGAGTGTGTTTGGAGGCACAAAAGAGAGATCATGTAAAAAAATAAAAATAAACAAGAGTGTGTAAGATAGAAGTAGGTGAAGAAAAAGACGAGAGAGGTGTGTGTGTGTGTGTGTGTTCTGGTGCCTGCTGTTCTGATGAGAGGCCAGATCTATATCCTCTTTTGTCCAAGGTCACGGTTGTTACACGGGAGCAAAGCAATATCTTGGAGCCACATACGCACACACACACCCCCACACACACACACACCGAGTGAGCTACGGCTCTGCCGATAGCTACAAGAAACCATTATAGATTAAAGCAATTAAACCAGAGACGACCTTTAACCGAACATTATGCCAACGCCAGGATCTCGTGTGAATCATATGATGTGTGCATATGAAAGTGCAGCGTGTGTGTGTGTGTGTGTGTGTGAAAATACACTTCACACTTTACATATGCCTGCTTCACTTCTCAACCTTACATTAACCTTAAGCAATTCAATTTAGTTTTCCCATCAGTAGCTGTGACATCACACCCCGTCCCCTCCAAAAAAACTTCACATCTATTATTTTAACTGCAGATGACCAGAGGTCCGCCCCCCCTGCCATAAAACCACATCCAAACATATTTGCAAAGTGATTTCCGAGAGAATTTCCGGGTGAGAACGCTCACTCCCCTTCAGTGACATTCAGTTGCCGAGGGGGAGAAAATGAAGCTCCACTCCTGCTGTTTGTTTTTTCAGCCTTGTTGCGATATATTTAGCAACAGAAAATAGAAACATCCCCACTGGGTTGAAGAAAGCCCGTAAGAAGAGTAAAAGAAACAGGAGAACACTGCAGGACGAAAAGGTGCCAGGCAGGGACCTGCCAGCATCCACCCAGCTGTTACATCAGTTCACCCCCAGGGTAGAGCCACCTTGTGTTGTGAGCTCCCTCTGCTGGTCGATAAAAAAACAAATTCACTTTTCTCTCTCTCTCTCTCTTTCAAATCGAAGGTGACAAAGACCTAAAGAGGACGCTCTCCATCACGACAACTTCAGAGAGCAGCAGTTTCCAGGTACACAGTTAGCCTCAGTTGAGAGGAATTCCTTTAGTCCTGCCAAAGCACAGTGTTCCAGTCCACTGTCATAACTGGGTTTCTTGTAAATGCCAACAATTGGGGAGCAGATCAATAGCTCCAGTAGTAAAGGAAGCCTGTTGACAACCCTGTTTTTCTGCTAACACAGATCAGATCTATCAAAGAGGCCGTGGTCTTAAATGGGTGTCAGGAGATTTCTCCTTCTCCTTTATGACAGCCTCGCTCCGGCTGCTGGACTGGACCTCAGAGGGAGGATTTCCTGGAATAACATGACTGCCGAGATGCGTGGGAGGAGAATATGCAGCCTCATACACTAATATCAGGTACACACACACACACACACCGAGACAGTGGCACAGAGCTAAACAGGCAGTCACAGCAGGAGAACAGCAGACTGGAAGGCAAAAGCAGGGCAGGGGTGCCTGACAGAAATATGGCTTTGTTGCTTTTCTGTCCCGTGGGGGGCGCAACAGATACGTACGTGCCGTACACAACGCCATCAGACAGTGGGCGAAATCAGGCAAAAATAGACCATTAAAAGCAGAAGGAAAGAAGAAAGGACAGGACAACAGAGGACAAAGTGTCTCATCAGAGACTCACACGTACACTGTTAGAGTCTGTTTGGTGTTTTTGGTTTGTTTTTTCACTGACGCCTGCTGTGAGTTTGTGTGCAACAACAACTGGAGTTTCCTCTGGCTTCTGGTTGATTACATC